GGCGGGGCGCCCGCGCCGCCGGGGCCCGGCGCCATGGCAACCGCGCGTCACGTGCCGACGCGCGTCACTGCCCGCAGCCATGGCAACCGTGACCTCACCGGCGAGCTCGACCTTCCCGCGTGGGCCCTGCTCCTCTGGCGCTGGCTCCCGGGTGCCCCCCTCTGGGGATGGGACGGTGGGCACCGCAAGCGTGCCCGCCAGTTCCCAGCCGCCGCAGCGCTCCCGAGGCGGGAGTGCCGGACGCCGGGCTCCAGGCCGGGTCCCCAGTCGCCCCGGGAATGGCTAATACGACCCCTGCTGTGACCTCCGTCCCAGTTCAGCAGTCACCCAGCCTCCCTTAAAACAAAATATTTCCTCATCACCAAAAATACCGGCCTTGTCCCACTTTAGCGCTTGAGGCCACAAAGGCAGGAATAGCTACGAGAAACTGTAACCAAGCTGGTAGCGAGGCAGGGGAATTCTTCAGTAAAATTCCTTCTCCTAACACAGCCCTGCTCACCCGGTACAACTAATCTGATTGTCACCGAATACAGGGGGGATAGGGAAACTGGGATTTGCGTGTTCAAGGGTGGAGAAACCAGCCCAAACATGCGTTCCAGTCATTGGGTGGGTGAGGGCCAGAGAGGCTACGTCATTTTCCTCCCACCCCGTCTCCGAACAATTCTATAGCTAGATGACTGTCACAGGGTCTGCGTCCTATTTCTGTCACTTGTATAACCCTGATGGAGCAGTGGTGCACATTGTCCAGAGAGCCACGTCATGGTTAAGGACAAAACCATCTGTTAGGCAAACTAAATAAAGACTAAAATAATAATTCCCTCCTTACAGGGACTCTCCGAAGACATTAAAGGTGATCAAATTTATAATCCCAACAATAAATCTCATATTCTTTTTTTCTTCCTTCGTCTGCTATCTGGCGTTCCACATCCTCCGGGGCCCCTCACTAGCTCTGGGGTTTCCCTTCTACTGTGTCCCACTGCTTTTATTAACTAGATGAACTTAACCGCTTTAGGTGGGGATGGGACAGGGATAGGCAACTGGGCTGTCCATAGCACGATGGTCTGTGGCAGGCTGGGGGGCAGGGAGAGGGAAGACTGTGAACACTTCCAGTGTTAAAATGTATTCCTTCAGTCCAGTGCTGATCTATCCACTTGCATGTCTCTCTATGTGGCAGAACTGTCTCGTCAGGCCATTGCATGTACAATATCCAAAACTGACACCCAGGGCACCATGAATGTGTGAGGAGAGCACATATTTACTCACTCCAACCAAAAGCTGTTTACGAGCCCTCTGCTTCCCCATCTGACTATAAGTAAAGGCGGGCACTAGGATGGGCCAGAGAGGTCATCCCACAGTTGTCTTGTATCAGTTCCCTGGTAGCTGTTCCAAATTGCCAACACAATTAACAGTAATTGGCTCCTTGACTAGCACATAAGGATGAGGATGAAATGGTCCTCAGCTTCTGGCACTGGTTAAGCCCTTTCCTTGGTTGAGCTTATTCAATCCCAGATAAATGATGGGGTGTTCCCAGGCTCGCTTACCACTTCATGACCTCACTCACCTGCCTCTGCGTTAACTTCAGAGCTGGGCCCCAGAGTCACAGTTTTACCATCTCCCTGGGGAGGGAGTCTCAACAGAAACCTTAGCTAGCTGGGAAGGCAAGGGGAAAAGAATCTTTTACTCTGGAAACTGCAGGAGTAGCACCAAATCCATTCTCACCAATGTCTTTACAGCCTCTCCTCCACTCATAGACGTCACTGGAGCATCAAGTACCCCGACTTCTGGCACTCTCTGGAGGGTGTCAAAAACAAGAAGCCTCTGAGGAGAAACAAGGAAATGGAGCATGGGTCTCACTTCCAAAGAGGAAAGGCAGATCATGCTTGTACCCTAATAAAGACTGGACTGTGTATGCTGTGTGTTAGATCATGTGTGCTCCCTGCCTGTATGAATTGGGGCCAGTAGATGGTGTGTTCTATGGAGACTCAGACAAAGACTTACTGGAAAGCTCCCTGAAGAGTCCTCTTTGGTGAGAAGAACATGGAAAATTCGGGAGGGCATTGCACAGTGAAAATCCTCAGGGGACAAGGAAAACACTTTAGATGTATGCATTTAATAAGGATTTCTTGAATGCTAAGCCTGAGGTAGGCTTAGGGAGGAGCTCACAGTCAAAAATAACAATGTGTGAGACACTACACTAAGCAATTTACATAAATGAACTCACTTAATCCACAACAACCCTATGAAACAGATTCTATTATTATCCCCATTTTGCAGATAGGGAAAATGAGGCACTGCAGGATTAAGGGTATTGGCCATGGTCACAGAACTAGAATTCAAACGCAGGCGGCATGCCTCTTGAGCCTGAGATCTTCCCAGACTGGATTATAAACCCTGTCAAGGGAGTAGCTGGTATGAAAAAATGCCTTCTCCAGAAGCCCAGGTTGACTGAGCTCAGTTTATAGCCAGGGAAGAAGAGGACTTCGGGAATTCTTGAGAGCAGGACAGAGCTGGAACCAAAGCGCATCAACAAACAGCAGACTACAAAACAGGACTGAGGTACCTAGGGTGGCTTCACTTGTAAGTCGTGCCACCATGAGACTCACTGTTTAGCGTGTACTTCTCCTGCCTTTAGAAAACAGGTGGGTAGGTGTGTTCCCGCCCAGCCGCAAACTCCAAGGAGTGGCCCCAGGGCTGAATTCTCGGAGCCGCTGCAGTCCCGTGTAGAGGCAGAGAGCTAGCCACCACCCAGTTCCCAATCAGCTCCACAGCCAACTCACTCTTTTCTAGAAAAGCAAAAGATTAAAAAAAAAAAAGGCAAAAGATAGATTCAGAGATGAAAATGAGACATTTTCCTATGTAATGTCATTGTGCTTGTTTCTAGAATTTGAAAAGGGCAAACCAAGGCATTCCTGATGTATACCATAGGCCCTTAGACAGTTCTAGAAATGATACTAAACCTCTGAGGACCTAAGGTCTGCCCGGAAAAGAATATAAGCAGTAGGAGGTAATACATTAACTCTTTTATGATTTTAAAGGCGCTCTAGCCTATCTGCAGGGCAGCTTACCAGCGACCTGAAAGAAAACTGCAGCCTCACAACACAGCTCCAAAGATTCTCTGAGCCATCAGGGCCTTGAAGAAAGTCCAACCCTCACTTTACGTTGGCCCAACTTATTACTGCTCTGAAAAAAAGCTAACGTTATAGGAGCATTCAGTTGATAGAGGGGCATCATTCAGAAATTTTGTATGTTGGAAAGCAATGCCATATTTACATGCCATATATTCCCAAACAAGGGAATTATTAGCCGGTTATAAATTCTGCTGTCACGTAGAAATCAGGGCACTGCTTGATCACATTGTCCAAATCCTCGGTGTGCCCGGTTCTCCGGATGAGCTGAATGTGCGCCTGTTTTTGTGAGGGCTGTGTTCTGCATTACTACCTCAGCTGGGAGAGTGCTGCCTTCCCCCCTCCTAGCCCAGATCAACCTAGTCAAGTCCAAATGCTCCCCCTGGGTGTCAAGAAACAGCTCTAAGCAGCCATAGTCTCCTGCTATAAAATATCTTGGGGAAGGGGCTTTCGAGAAGCTAAATAAGCTTTCAGTCAAGGATTTTCTGTTCGGCTTGCCCACATTTTTCTTTTTAATGGAGCCATTCGAGCTATTACACAAAACCTAAAAAAAAAATTATCCTTATTACTTTCCATATGTTCTAGGATATGGTTGAAGCATTTTTAGATTATTATTAATTACCCTTTAGATCATCCAAAAGATTTTTAAGTATGATTTTTTTTAAAGATTTTATTTATTTGAAAGAGAGAGAATGAGCAGTGGGGAGAGGCAGAGGGGGAGAGAGAGAGAGAGAGAGAGAGAGAAGCAGACTCCCTGCTGAGCAGGAAGCCTGACACAGGGCTCCATCCCGGGACCCAGAGATCATGACCTGAGCCAAAGGCAGATGCTTAACCGACTGAGCCCCTAACTATGATTTTTTTAGACGTTTTCTGCACTCTTAGATGTGACTATATCATCTTTTAGGATCAATGTTTTTCCTCAGGGAGATACGCCTTTGATTTTATATGAGAAAATACATTAGGTACAGAAAAAAAATTCATTCAGGACAACTTTTTTCACAAAAGGATACGCTCCTTAACAAAAGGTACACGTAGTTACTCTGCAGTCCACTCCTTAATATTTATACCAATAAAATTTTTTTCTTATAATGTGCTTCTTTCTCACAGAGGGACAAAGAGTGGTACTCAACAAATACTAATTAAAATGTTGGCATATCTGGATCCTTTTCTTTCCCTTACATAGAAGTGTACCTAAAATTCCAGGAATTCAGAACATCTCACATTAGATGAGTGGAAATTCTTTATTTCCCTGGCTCTGAAGGTACAGAACTGCCTCTTTCCTGTTTATTCCTTCATCTTCACATCTCTGCTGACTAAAGAGCCATCCTCCCTGCCACACCTGCCTTGGGAGTTGCCTCTCAGTTTTAAGTGCTCACCTTCAAACAGCCTTACCTGTTTTGAAGAGAGCACAGAGACTCTGCCTTCCCAGCGGCTTCCTTGCATTAACAGGGGGGGTTGCTTAGGTTTTCTACCAGCCTCTACAGCTGTTGGCTAAGCAAAACGTATGCAACTGGGATTGACTTCCATAGGTAGCCGATCTA